CTGAGTGTGGCACGGATCACAAGTTGGTGCGGAGCAAAATGTATGTATATTTTCGTAAATCTATGTATTGTATTGGTGCCGTGAACTGGCAGAAATATAACGTTCGTTCCCTAGGTACTGTGAAGAAAATGGTGGAACTGCAGAAGGCGATGGTTCCCCGCCTTGTTATGGTCGAACCCACCGTCATTATCCATACACGTTAGCTGAAGGTGTGAAGAACATCGCAGCTAATGTTCCGCAATAGAAAAGATAAGATACTAAAATTACACTGTAAAATATCAAAAGCAAGTATGATAATGTTAAGCACTATAGTAAGCATGTCGCATGAGATTGGAAGTGGAGGGGAATCTAAAGCGCAGGGGATGGACAAAGAAACACAACACAAATGCTGCTGGGGTCGGCTCTTCGCCATATCGGCAAGTGTGTCTAATCAAACGTGTTCAACATCCTTCGGACCCCAGCAAGGCACTCGGGATGCACTATCAGACGTCAAGCGAAGTGAGGGTTTTCATTCCTCTTGACCAAGTTATCACTTGGCCTCGCCTACTCCTCTTCTAACCGCACCCCCAGTGCACAACTATCCACGTCGCGGAATCGGTGGGCTGGCATGCGCAACACATGACACAGCCATCGAAGCCTAGTGCGTAATATAATGGTGCCGAATGATTCACTCGCTATTTCTGCACCAACTACGAGACGCAGAATAAATCCATTGCTTACGCGGTGATCCCACCAGATAGGAGCTAAGCTGCGAAGGCAGCGATGATCGAACGTGACTAGTCTGCTTTTGTCTGTCGACCTAATGGGTCATGTTTCACAACCGTATAACAGGGTCCAACGGGTGGCTGCATCGTAAACTCTGCGCTTCTGGGCAAGAGTGACATCACGTCTCCGCCACAAGTGGCGGAGATTGGCAAAAGCACCTCGGGCTTTTACCATACGGTTCGCAACCTCATCTCCGATCCCACTGTCGATAATAGAGCTGTCCAGGTACTTGAATTGCTGAACGACTTCACGCTGATTCCCACCAAGAGTCAGGACAGGTGTGGATCTTTGCCAATCTTGGAGAAGGACTTTGTATTTCGATGGAGCCAAGCACAGCCCCAAACGATTGACACCTAGTGCTAATCGGTCCAATGCTGCTTGGCACGTTTGGGAGTTGTTACAGATTAGGGAAATATCATTCGCATACTCCAACTCAAAAAGTTGTTCACCAGGAAGTAGCTCCATACCTTCTAGGTCGTCCAGACAATGCTGCTTCCGTGACTTCGTCAATAGCGAAGTTAAAGAGAAAAGATGACCGAGGGCAACGTTGTCTCACATCGCTGGCAACAGCTTGCCACAAACCTTCACTCTGCCCGAACTGCACGCGTACAGCGATCTGACAGTTTACGTATTTATCGCGCACACCTTTCCTCAGCAAACAATCCCAAAGGGCATATCGATTCATCGAATAGAAGAGACATCTGATATCGAGAAACACAACGGTGGGTCACCAATAAACATGGCGGTGTTCCAACAGTTGACGCAAAGTGAAGATGTGGTCGATGAAGCGCCGACCTTAATGAAACTCGGTTGCACTTCATTGATCTGGCTTTCACGAGTGTCAGTCAGTCTGTGGAGAACGGCAGACACAAGCAATTTAGATCAGACTGATTCCTCTATGACTGTCGCATTCCGAATGGGTGCCTCACTTGAAAATTGTGACTATGGCTTCAGTCTCTCGGGACAGTTTCTTACTCCCAAAGTTTCACTAGCAACTCATGTAAATCATCCACAAGAGCAGATCTCCGAATTTCAACAGGGCTGAGGGAATTTTACATGCCCCTTTGGCTTTATGCAATTTCAACAGTCTGGTTGCATCTTCGACTTCTGCGCGTCAGGGCGGATCCAATGTCCAAGCCATAGATACAGTGGGCGATCCGTGGCACCATATACGTGAACAGGTGATGGCTGCTGTGGAACAAACAATCGGGCGTGCAAACAGTGAGCATGCCGATTGCTTTGATGACAACAGTGCGACCATTGGCGCATTGGTGTCGGCGAAGAATGCAGCGTTCGCAGTACGTGTGGCGGAGCTTACTAACTGGGAGAAGGTTAGTCATTCCCGACAATTTTGACGGCCGTTGATTTGAGAGCTCCGTTACATAAAGAGTGCATGATGGCAGGAGGATGCGACGCAGATGAATGCTACGACGAACGCCGCCAGAATAAGGAATGCTTTGGCTTCTTAAAGGTGGTGTATGGACCAACGTTGCAGCATCTGAGGACGCTGTTCGACTCTATTTCAGGCGCCGCCTAAACATAGATTTCAGACATAATGCGGATCTGGTGAAAGCCGTTTGTTCCTCTCTTGAACAACCGTTTAAAGATTGACTAAGCTGTGTTAAACGGGCTGCAACGAAAAGAGATAAAGACGTGTCTTGCAGACACACCGACAGTGGATGAGATGCAGAAAGCACTTGCTCAGTTTCGAAACAGCAAGTGTGCCAGTTCCGACGGGATACCGCCTGAAGGAATGAAACGAGGCGGACCAGCCTTGGTAAATGCGGTGCAACACCATGCAACGCGTGTGGTTCGAAGAAGAAGTGCCAGCCGAGCTGAAGGATGCGCTTTTCCTACCACTGGGCAAGGACGAAGGCAGCAAGCAATGTTGGACGAAATATCATGGTAGCAGCTTGCTGAGTCGTGTGGGCAAGGTGATCGCCCCAATCCTGTTCAACCGCCTCGTCATTCAGATCGCTGAACCGAATGTGGCGGAACTGCAATGTGGACACGGTTCGAGCCGCAGCATTATAGATATCGTGTTCGTGGGACTTTAGCTGCAAGAGAGATACAGAAAGCGACATCAGCCAATGTACTCGTTGTCTGCTGATTTCACCAAGGCATTTGATACGGTGAAGCGCGAGGTACTGTGGCTGGTGTTGGGTAAGGTTGATTGTCGGAGTAAGTTTGTAAGTTTAATTGAATGTCTGCACAGTGGTATGCAGGTGAGGGTGCAGCCGAGTGGACGAACCTCGGATGAAATTGCAGTTGTCTCTGGTGTGAAGCAACGCTGTGTCTTAGTTTTTGCATCGTTTGTCATTTATCTTCATGCAACACTGTTATATTTTTGATACTATTTGTGATTAGGGTGTCCGAGTGGAACATCGTATTGATGGTGGGTTGCTGAACATCCATCGTCTCGGTGCGAGAAACCTACTCTGTGAGACAACTGTCCGTAGGTTGCTGTTTGTTGATGACTGTGCGTTGTTTGCGCACAGCGCGGATGAGTTGCAGCACATGACTAGTGCTCTGGCTTCGACAGCGTCCAACTTCGAACTCACCGTCAACACAAGCAATACCGTTTGCCTTTTCTAGCCTTCACTCGCAGTGGAGTCCAAATTCAGGTTGCCGACAAACTGTTGAAACCACTCCGAGATTTTACTACCTTTAGAGCGTAATTACAACAGACCTGAAAACGACGAGCGAGATGCGCAGCCGCGTATCAAAGGCGGCTGCTGCAGTTTGCAAACTGGAATGTCGTGTGTTGAATAACCACTGGCTCACTTTCGGGATGAAGCCGCTGGTATACAATTCTATGGTGCTGTTCGTTCTTCTATACGGCAGCGAAACATGAACGCTTTAGCGGAAGAATGTCCGATATTTGAAGCGCTTCCATCCACAGTGTCTGCATCGTATTTTTTATATCGGCTGGCTTAACCGAGATGCAGGCACGGAGGTGTGCCGACGTAGTGACATGTGTGCTGTGGACTGCATACTTCTGTCGAGGCGCCTGGGGTGGCTCAGGCATGCTCAGCACGTGGATTCGACCAGGAGACCGAAACAGCTGCTTTCTGGCCAACTGCATGCAGGAAAGCGGCACACAGGAAAACCAAAGTTACGTTACCAGATGATGATCAAGGTGAGTTCATCCCGAACTAACCTTGATCTGAAGTGTTTGGAGTTGACAATGGATCGGTGCCGATGGCGAAAGCATATCAAGAGGGCGGTCATCTAGATGTAAGATAAATCACTACTGCATACGGAAAAGAAATGTCGGTTGAGAAAGCAACGGGCGTCGATGGTGGATAGCCCATGGTCGTCGAACGCACTGTGCTGTAGCACATACGGTCGCGAGTGCCTCAGCCCAGCGGGTTTCTTAGGCCACGATCTCTGCCACGTTGGGCCAACATCTAAGGTGATATATATATATATATATATATATATATATATATATATATATATATATATATATATATATATGGAGTACCCAGCCTAGATTCGATGGCGCACACGTGACGTACGCAGGCTGTTACCCGTTAAAATCTGGTTCGCGCCAGTTGCTCTATTCTTGTGCTAAGCAAGATGGATTTTGTTGGGCCTCGTGACAAGTTTGAGTTTGGTTAGTTTGCATATGCGGCGATTCGCCGGCCTCTTCCCTGATACGTATCGATATCGTTCAATCTAGCCCCCGCCTATTACCACGCTCTCGTCTAACGACTGCTGTCCGTCTGAGCTAAAGTGTTACTTAGAACTGATCGGGAAGCCTCTGAATGAGTTTGGTAGATCAAGTGCAACTAATTTAGCTAAGAAATGGTGCTGTAAAATAAGTTTGCAGGCTACAGGCTACCAACGCAAGTGAAGGAAGCAAAGTCAAACTTCGTGTGAATTATGAAGCAAGTATTCCATACGCCACGAAAGGAACGGAGACGAATCGAAAAGGAACCAGAAGGGCACGTAACTCGATAACTGTGTGCAGTCCCTCGAATAAAATACGTATCATAAGGTGGAGAAATACTTTGGGTGGCGTGTTGACGATTTTAAGTTATGGACGCCAATGAGACAGGGAGAGTTCATGAGCTTCGAAATCGGTCCCGCGTCGTCGGACTATTTAAAAATTCTTGAAACGAAGATACTGAATCAACCGGCTTACAGACGGCAGTCTTAAGCCTTCAACGGTAGAAACGCGCGAGGTAAATAGAGATCAATTGGTAAAAATAGCGGAGGTGGATACTTACCCCTTGGTACACTCTGTTCCAGGGTTCTGGTCTAAAAATCGACCCAGGTAACCAGTGAAGTTCTTGGCCGACGGACGCCCATCGATCAATTCCACCGGGCAGGTAACACATGCGTCCAAAGGTGCAGTGTCTGGACAAAAGTTGGTCAAATTTGGATACATTCGACAACAGTATGGCGAGCCGTCAGGATCGATCCAATCGAAGTAGTCATCGATCCAAGAGGATGCCGGTTGAGCAACCCACGAGCTGATGAGAATAGAACGTAGAGTGGACTCAGAGCGGAAACCTAGAACCGCTAATGCATAAGTTGTGTTGATAAGCCGTATGAACGAGTCCGTCGGCCACCAAGAGATAACGAATGTGATGTTGCAATGTGGACCAAAAAGTGTCTAAAGCCAGGTGTTTCACTGATGATCGAACGGTTACGCAGTTCAACTGATAACGCTGGGTCAATTCGATCGGCTGACATGAAATTAACCGGTTCTAGCTCATGCTAATTATAGTGGAGCAAAGAGTTGCACTGTGAAGCATTCAACAAAATGTTTGAGAGCATTATCTAGCACAACCGTAAGTCAGTGGAGTCAGCATGTAGTAATTTTGGACTTGGACTACGTTCTTGGTTTCAATAGAAAACACTGCGTGAGCGATAATGCACTGTAATATTGGTTTTCATCATGTAGCGTAAGACGTAACGGGAAGGCGATGAGTCCGTGTAAATTAGTAAATTCAATGACAAGACGGACAACTGTAGCTTATATAGGTTCAGTGCGATAGAGAGATGCATCTGTCACTACACCTGCGAGTAGCAGTTGAAAATAAAATAATACAAATCGCCAGTTGCACGCCGTAACGCCGCATCGCTGCCACGCGACCACCACCACCAGTCGCGCGTGGACTTATTATACCGTGAGGACGATCACCACTAAGCGGATTCGAATCGGTGACCTTGTGGATGTAGATCAGGCGCTCAGACCACTTGGCTACCGGCCGACGCATATCGGTTAGCAGCCGGTCGTACCATGCAGTTATGTGACAATAATCGGAGCAGGATCACACCGGTGATGATGCAGTAGAGTTGACTAACTAGGTTTGTAGAACAATCTGTTAGGAGCATATATGTACCAGGATGAGAATGTGTGTTTCTGGGTTCAGAAGGAATGAGCAGCTGCCGCCTGGGGGGCATGTGAGTTTAGATGAGACACGCTTACTGCTTTTCCTGCAGATGATATTACAGACACCATTCTGCCAAATTATGCAAGGACGCATAAAGAGTTAAGTAGGTCGATTCGCAATCGTGATATAAGCAGGATTGAGCAGAAGTAATGAATCAGTAATGCTAACATTACGGAAGGTTTTTCCGCATATATATTCACAGTGGCTGCGCTGTGGTAAAGAAGTTTCGTGACTGTGGGACCAATCAGGTCAACAGATTAAATTTGCGGTGCTCATCACAGGAGTGATGAAGAATCTTGAACAGTTAGCACAGTAAAGGAAGTGAGAGCGCAAGTACCAAGGATTCCCTCGGAAATCAAAGTAACGGAGATGGTATTGGAAAGATTATCGTGAACACTAAAGAGGTAGCCACCTATGGAGGCTACAGAATGTCCTCAACTGGTTGTTAATGCCAGAGTGAAAAGACCTAAATAAGAGATATGCCAACTGAATAAACCAACCGACTGCCCACAAATCTCCTCGAAATCAAGACCCTTCAATCGGTTCCAAGCATATTCCGTAGGTCACAGTGTTTCACAAGGAATTAGTCAAGTTGGGAAAGTCCTAGCTGGTGAGGCGAGCCATTGTCCTCCACACAGTTCGTAAGTGGCATGGCAGTGGAAGATAAGCCTGGCTATATCACCGTCAACTCTCAACCATGCAGGTCAGCGGCTGTCACCCCTGGCGAAGTGGCATGCGCTGCTGGCATCCTAAAGTAATGGGGCCGGAACCCGGCAAGTGTCCGCTGGAGGGCGCACCACTGACGAGACCAAGAATGTCGAAACGTCGCCGTCTGACGCTTTTCCAGATTAGCCTAAGCCTGCTGATTGGGAGAGACGATGATGAATTAGCTGAATTAGTCATAAGCCAGCTGTGCAAACAATGTTGTATTCGGAGGCTCCCATCCTGCTTGCATACAAAAACAGATAGATAAGAGCAAGACCAATACACACATCATTGACCGACTTTACCCATCAGAACAACTCGCAAGAGGCTTTCCAGTCCATCTAAAGGGCGTCTGGATGCCACACATAAGCAATCAGATGCCGCTTACTAGCGACAGCAGAGGTGATCGTCATTCTTTACATGTACGCACACAATTTCGTCCAAGTCCTCCAGCTGCCGTGGCTAAAAGCCACATCGTCGAACGCCGATCATTGTTCAAACGCCCACAACCTTACCCCGATTAGTGCGATCACAAGACGAGACAATTCATTTCGCTGTTTTATTGTGCCTAAATATATTGTGTGTTATATTACGGACAAACTGTTTTGATGCACAAACCTGACGAGAACCATTGGAAACAAACTTGTGCGCTTAAATGTCTTTTAATTCTAATTTAGTCTCTGGAATTAGCTTATTAGGAAGGAATACACGGTGTGAACAAGTCAGGACCCCATCGCCGCGGCAGGCGATCCACATTCATCTGCTCTGGTTGGGGCGAACACAGAGCCAACCGGGAGAAGCAGCCAATTAACTCGAGGGCGTCGTTCCTTGATTTGCTGTTAGTTGACCTTTTCAGATCATTCCATGTGTGCTCTAAATACCATTCACGAACTTTTCATTTCACCTTTATAATGAACGATGTGAATTGCTAATACATTACTGTTGCTCTGCCTCGTCCGATCCGGTCTTTTCTCTGTCCTGTAGGGGTCAGCGACTTTGGATTTTGATTGGGAATCAAGCGTCCATTCAGGCTAGGGACAAACAATTCAATCTACTCGGCTACAAAAACAGTCAATGAATGACGAGGACACTAAATGACTATTGCACCTTCAATCATTGGGTTTCATGGGGAGATGTCGAGGTATTTCATTTTCAAAGGATAGAAAACATAGAGCCTCGCGAGTTAATATTTGAAAACATGCCTCGTAGTAGTCCGATAGACCATGTTATGGTGCTCAAAAGCCTGAATAGACGTTACAATAACTCGAAAAATACAAGTGACAAGACAGATAGGGAGCTGCGAAGGTAAGATGTCGGATGAAGGATGTTTGTCCACCCCAAGATCCGTAACGAGATTACCGACGTATGACCAGAGGTGGGTCCGTCAGTTTTCAGATGTTAGAGTACCTGTGGGGCGTTGAGTCTTAGGGTTTCCAGTTTACAATCTGGCATCAGTAGTATGTAACAAAAATAGATTTCCGAAAACAAAAATAAGACTATTATTACCACTCAGTTTAGACAATTGAGCAGATTGCGTGGAAAGCCCATTGCATCCGGATGAGCAGTGAATATCTAATCTAAGAGGGACCATTGATGAAAGCGAAAACACTTACTAGGCTGACAGTTTTGATGCATCACTGATGCGGCCCATAAGTGAGTTCTGTGGGCATCCGACCGTACCGCAGACTTCATTCTGACCGGCTGTGTCGTTGTAACTGTGTCCATCAGTGACAACAAAATAGAGAGGTGGGCCGACACGGAGGTCCGTGGCTAGGGCATTAAAAAAGTCCAACATATACGAATCCTCCGGCACAGATAGACGCTGATCCAATCCGATGTGGGTTCCGTTTGGAATGATCGCGATGGCGATGCAGGCCCAAGCCAAGCTGAGCACGATTACGATTGGACGAACCCAACGGGAAAGCAGAAACGGAGTGAAACCATGCGCAATAGCTCGGTGTAACCAGGGCATGGAATTTGATACTATGAGAAAACGGGAGATGTATACAAGTTATGTGAGTTGTAATAAGGCTTAAAGTGGGTCTGCACAGTAAGATTGAAAACTATGGCTTGACAGACCATTCAGTTGCTTCTCCGAAAGCATCAAGTTGGACAATCGGACGTCATCCAAGGCATTTGAATTAAGCGACACAGAGTTCATTTGAGCGGTAGGTCGTTCTGTCGTCGAGTTTCGCTGGGCATCCTCATTCACGAAGGTACGAGATACATCAGTCTCCTCAAGAGTATCGTTCAATCCGAAGCAACAGAAGACATCAAATCTACGCGCCTGCAACCAGAGGGAAAACAGGGTTACCAATGGAGTGCACGAATGGGGTATTCATCAAACGATAGGGACTCAATTCCCTGTAGATAGACATAAGCCAGGATGTCAAGTGGGGCGATAGCACCGAAACGAGAACCAGCACGTACCGCCCATCGACGTGAGTCCAGTGTCATCAAGGCGACGAATGCGGATAGCTGGAGAAGCAAGTTGAATGCAATCGCCATGCCGGCGTACAATGCGAAAACCCGAACAGCTGGCATGCTGGTGAGCGAACCTGGAGTGTGGTGAATAAGGGATGGGGTATAAAAAGAAGTGATCAGTTTACCAGGACACAAAACGAGCGAACCCAAAGAAAATCCTATTAAAAATGAATAAGTGTCATACGATAGAGGAGTTCTGAAATGCAGTGTACATACCGAGCAACAAAAGTCAAAGGTTAGCGGCACCTGTAGGGAGGGAGGTAAAGGCCTAAACCTTGCACTGAGAAAATACACATGAGGGACTAGACAGATAAATAAATATCTAGACAAGCATTTTGTTCCTTGACGGTGTGAGCGACTGTTTCCGCATGGGAACAGCTCAATAGGTGTAAAGTCGTGTTTCGCAAGTGATGTCATTCATCATAGAAAGGGGATGAATTTATGCCAACATGTGGAGTTTGCATATGTGCAGGTTTTATCATTAATGAACAATGTGGGAAGTTCATAACAAAATCTCAATTTCACCGTATTGACTGATGGGTGTAGCTGAGTGTGCATGGGATAAATGGTGCGGAAGCGGTTCCTCATTTTCATGTGAGGGTATCTTTAGATGTACTTTCATCAATCGCCGCTTTGGTCCTGGTCCCGTTGATGAATCTAAACATATTCCAACACTGGATTCTGTCACAATTTTCCGCAAAATAAAACTTGACGGTATAATTATTCCGTATTGTAAACGAGGGGTGTAAACTCACCACAAAAGAAGGCCACGGATTCCGCCACGCTGGATAGCAAAAGGGAAGGGCCAACACGTCCTAATGTACGTGAAATGCGAGTTTCCACCACGTTTTTGATTGCTGAATTGAGCTGAGGGGACGTGGCAACCGTTCGCATTAACTTAGACCCTCCGGTGACAGATTGTGCTGACAGATCGGCAGAACGGAAAGTCGCTTGACTCAAACGGGCTGCTTCTTCGCGCAACAATCTGTCCGCATCTGCAGCCTCAACTTCGAAACCATGGACCAAGAGGAAAATGTTGTCCACACCAACTGCCAGCACCAAGAACGGGATCACCTCGATGATGATCAGTGTAGCGGGGGTACCAATGTAACTCCATAGACCAACAGAGGCGACAACTGACAAAATGACAATGAGCACACCTCCGAAACCCAAGGTGATTCGCATATCCACCTGGAATGAAGCACATTGGTAAAAAGGTCACGTTGCCTAAGCCAATATAGTGGTGAGGTACCGCGGAATCTGCAACCAAGCATAACATATTCCGTAGTCTTTTTCAACTATCATTGGAAATTGATGGACAGGGTTAACAACACATTAACAAATACATCCAAAAGCAAAGCACTGTGAAGTAATAGGTGGACAAATAATCACTCGGTATCGAGGAATTCCATCTTCAAATCGAATGGACTATCTTGTGGCAACACTCCGCACATGAGCCTACAGACTTGGCGACCATTAAGCAATCTGATTCAATAAAAGCCTAGTGAATTACCACTTCAGTAGGAAGACAATCATCCACAAGTTTACAATTTTTCATGTGAATAAAAAATGCCACACTTGACGGCGGCTCATAAACACAAGCTTGCCTGAGATGAAGGTACCAATCTGATCAGAGGACTGCGATTGTCATCATCGGCAACTATCAGTGAAGGATTCGCTAGAAAACTCTCCTCTCATCATACAATCTAAATGCTACCATCCAAACAGCTCATTAAAGGTCCATGCCAACTTTCTGACTGAATTTATGGTGTTTGTCGTCAATATTACGCTCAAACGCTATCCTGTCCAAGTAATTTGAATTGGAGGTGTAGTTTGCTGATCGAGTGAAAGATTCTAAAAGATAGACGACGTTGATCTATCGGGATCTAGTTCAAATCAATCGCAAATGAAATTGAGCAGATTGATGCGGAGCGTTGCAAATCTCAGCAAAAGATTTGGAATCTTCGACGTTCAACAACGTGTTGTGGAACGAGGTTGACATGGTACAAGTTCGAAGAAGTTTTTAAGAACATTTTAAATAAAAAAGCCGTTAATCTAACCAGGTAGCTATGTCGTTTCAGCGGGGTTCAACCAAACATGGGACACTACCCGGATAAGTGGAGCCCGAGTGGTTGTACGATGGTATAAACGTCTCTCAGGACGGTTGGGCATAAGCCAATGTGCGAAGATCGAAGTGCATAACACAGTGAGCATTGATGTGCGGATCGGATGAGTGTATAAAAAAGAAATACTGAATGTGGCCAACGGCGCCTCAAATGTGACGCGAGTAATGACTCCTGTCAACCAACGTTTACGGTTGCCCCTACCGAGAAAACGGACGTTTTGCATTTATGCGATTTAGGTTTTCATATAACCACAAGTAGTCATGGTTGGGGCGCGCGCTGCTCATCGTTAATGTGTTCGGTTGCGCATAACTCCAAGTGAAAAAGGTCGGTGGTGCGTTCGAAAGGCGTGAACGAAATGCCCGAAGAGGAGAGTTGGCCAAACGCGCGCTGTCCTCCAAGGCAGTGACTAGGCGTTTGAATAGATGGAATGTCAATGGTGATCTCGAGATCGATTCCTAACTACTGACATCCCCTTCAACGGAACCGATTACTTTAGTGTACTTCACTTGAAGTGACTCTCGTTGGCGTTTTCCTTCACATCCCGATATTTCTGAAAACTGCATTCCAGGAGGTGAGATCCATGATAACCTGATCAGCTGCACCTCGGTATGTGGAGCATTGTTTACGCCTGAGTTATGAAACGCAAGTGCATAAGAATCAAAAGACTGCTCAGCATCCACATTCACTTATCACCAACTCACGATACATATCGTATCATAACTACATGATTAGATATAGCAGTATGGCAGGCATAAGGTGTTAGTGTGTCTCAAACGGTGAAATAGATAGGCGGCCGCTCCTCGATTTATAGGTAAATCTGAGCAGGTGCCCAACGTCACGGTACACACAGCCCACGCGCGACTGGTGGTGATCGCATGGCAGTAAAGTGTCGTAACGGCGTGTCGGAGTACTGCGGATGCCGCTTCCTTAAAGGCGAGAACGAACAACATACACGGGTGAGAAGACTTTGGTAGGAAACTGGATCTTGTAAACTAGGTTGCTAAACAGAGGCCCATCTTGCTACGAAGGTGAAAGTACCACAAAAATTCCGATTTGTCGTCTTTCACACACACCCACACACAATTAGGGGGGATTTCCAGTGGCGAAGATGCAGTTCCAGTTCATCAGAAACATTGCAGGAAAACGGCACTTCAAAGACAAGAGACCTGTTTACGTCGAATCGAGTTGAATTCACTTGTTCACGCGTTTATGTACAGCAGATTACAATGAACATACGACAAGGTGTCTATATAACAGATTAAGGGAATATCTTCTAGATGTTAAAAACGAACCAACATCTCCATAGCCATGCAGTTCGCTGAAACTGATCACGTCCCCAAGCGAGTTACGTCAGTCAAATGACCAATCGACCGCATGGCAATAGCTCAACGCATGTCCCCATGTGGGTGGGGATGGAAAGTCAAAAAAGGCAGAATATCAAGATGTAGGCACTGAAACGGTGCATTCAGATAGTAGGACTATTCTTGACCCAACGGACCGTGACCAGTACAAATCGGAATTATGCCGAGCTCCATATTGTGTCGGTACATTGTGACCTATATACATTTGTATAAGCCTGATGAAGAATTATCGAAACGACGTTCCCTTAGACTGCTTGAAGACAACATGTGACAAGCGTCGTAAACAAATGGGGAGGCCCGAAAAGCGACACTGATAAGCAGAAACTGGTCGGAAAGCTGACTCACAAGGATAGTTCTGCAGCTACGATAGTAAGCCACGAAGATGCTGACATAAATGAACATGACGATGTAGCTGATCACCACCGTCGAGACATCCGCTTCTGATTGCCGATTGATCTCATCCTCCACCGAACGCTGTAGGGTGAAAGAATGAGAAGCTGAATTCAACAATTACAAGGCTCAGGCATAAACACCAACTGCTTGTACGCTTTGAGAATCAAAAGCAGTTCGTGCGGGTAATGTGACTGAGCCATATGACCAGCTCGAATAGTAAATAAATAAATAAATAAATAAATGTTTTATTCCCGGCAGAACGAGTCACACCTGCGAAGGCATGATCATGATAATGCAAGCAGGTATGGTAGGTAATTTAGAAAAATATAGCAAGTTAACCAGTAACCTACTGAATTTGTGTCTCTGTATATATGTAAGTGTATGTGTTAGTTGGAAGCGGAATGTGGGGAAAGCAAAATTACGTTACCAGGACATGATCAAAGTGAGTCTCTCACGTTCTAATCTTGATAGAAGGTCATGGGAATCGAAGGCGGTTGATCGGCGTGCATGGCGCGATCTGATCACGAAGACAGTTGCCGAGGTGCGGGAGAAAGACCTCATACATGCAGAGAAGAGGCGACAAATGTGAAAAAGGGGCAAGCACCGATGGCACCGATGGCACGTGCGGTCGCGAGTGCCTGAGTCAGGCAGGCCTAGTAAGCCATGAGCGAGGCCATTAAAGACCACCACCGAAGCGACGACGGGTCCTGCATAGAACGTAGGCAAAACCTGCGCAGCGTTTGTAGGTACGCTACATTCGATTTACTAACCGCGTGCTTACATGCTGGGTCTCTTTATTTCAGGTGGTGGGTTTTCTATATTGTCTTAATCCTATTTTCTCTCATATTAGTGTCTACCTGAAATGTTTTCTATAAAAGTGCACACGTCGCTGAAGCTAAGTGTAGTTAATTTCGATAACCTTTTCGCGCTTGTGGCATTCCCTTAAAATATATTTTCTGACGTCTTGAATTTAACTCGGATTCCGTCGCAATCAATTTTTTCTACGCCTGTTAGGTGAAGAGTTTTGTCTCCGTATCTGTATGCATTAACCGATTTATTTTATTTCATCTTGTCGTTTCAAGTGATTGGCTGTTGCTTGATATCCCCGGTGTGGCTGCGCCTGATGTGCATGTTGACAAAGTGCCTACCTGTCTATTACTCACTACCTCGTTCATATTGGCTCCAGGAGGCAGTTGGTTGTTACTGCAGGGGGCGGGGTCCACAATTCTGGTATCTGTGCTAGACTCGAAGAGTGGTTCCATGCACTCAGTGTAGAGCGGACTACAGTCCAGCCACCGCCTTGTGTGCGCGCTTGATTACCCAAATACAGCTTGCTTGTGTTTGCCTGTGAAGGAGTGTGGGCCGGCTCCGTTGATGAAACGTGGCTCCCATTCGCATGCCTCCCGGTCTTATTCATTCGGGTTTACACTGGATATGGGGTGTGTGGATGGAGCTGTGGGTGGTGCAGCGCAAGCCACCCATGGTTCCTCAATAGGCACAGGCGTCCTGTAGCTTACCACAGTGAAAGGCAAACCCGCAACCGGATGCCGCCAATCATATATGTTAGTGGACATGGTGAGTGAACTTGTGAAGTGTGACTGAATTCGTGAGTATGTTTGCTGTGTTCGCCATCGTATGCAGGTATCAAAGGTACTCTTCGAGCCGGAAGACGTTCGTGAAGTGGCGAAGATCCTCCGGAAGAGGGAGTGACAGTGAGTTTACTTAGTGCCCAGTCACATCTGCCACGTCACATTGTTGTCAAACGGATCTTTGTGGCTTTGATAGGGAGAACGCTTGTCAGTAGAAAACCCACCATGTCCTGGAACACTGCCGTCGAACTACTCGCTGGAACGGGATTAATCCGAACCACTTACCTGGTACCACGTAGAGGTGGTTCGGCTAGCCAGTAGGATGGCAAGCGGGTCAACTCTCAGACCACGACTCGCCTTGCTACAACATCATGGCACGAAAATGTGAGCAAATTAGGTGAGGAAAGACTAGAATAACATTGATCTACTGACTGTGTGCTGTCGGACAGGTAAGCTAGCTTCTGGGATGAACGAATGCTGGGATATTGCACAACATACACGAGTCAGACATGAGTGTACAATCGGCTCGACCAGGTTCCTGTCATCCTACCTATTGGCTCAACGAAAATTTCCCCGCAGCTGAACGAAGAGACAGTGGGTAACGTACGTCAGAGCATACAAACACGTGGCGTAGTAGTACAAATGCTTGATAGCCAACGAGACAGTCGAGCCGGTCGAGCATCAGTCTAAATACCACAACGAGGCAGTCAATGCCAGTCATCATAAAGAACAGATAAAAAGTCCCTGAAACCGCCAAAGAGCAGCGTTAATCCTCGATTCAAGAAACAATATTGCATTTCAGTAATACGCTCGTACGTCGGACCGGTATTTCGCCGCGATGCGACCAGTAGTGCAACAGGTTTCCCGCACCAACGCATGCTGGAACTGTTGATATTTGATTACAAAACAGACTTCTGAATCAATCGGCTACCGGATGGAAACAACATTAGTTCTATCTTAATACTTCATACGCTATCAACGACAGACAGGCTAATACCCAGTCGCCCGCAAGAATAATGAGGGACTTGGAGGATTACTTTGGCAATTGTACTGCGGAAAGTAAAAAGCTAGCAAGACCGACTCTAGTGGTTGCATGATGTGCAAGAAGGCTGCTGTTGTGTCGGAGCCCCACGACTGCTTCCACCCACTAACGGTAGTGAGAACACCAACGACCGGGCAACAAACAATGTTCACGCAGCACGACACACTGGGCACCAAGCGTCTGTCTGTGCAACTCAATCACAATATTCAACTAGGGCATATCACAGGCTATGCGGAAAGACTAGCATTCGGTCAGTCAAGGCTGGTCAGTACAAAAAAGCGGGGGATCGATAAGCTGCCTCACGATTGAACGAAATACACAAAGTAAAAGAAAAGCCAATAAGCGCAAGATTCAGTGTTCATACAAGCTAATCACAAATGGGAGGCAAAAGTGGACGTATGCGAGGAACCGGAAAGGAGGGCAGGGTGAGTAAGGGTGAGTGGAGCAAAACTCACAAAACAACGGGAAGCGTTGGAGTATTCTTACCTCCGCTATAACAGCTACCTTCACAAAAAGTGCCGCATCCATACCGAAGCAGTTTGAACGACCAGAACATATTCGTAAATGTATGATGCGCTGCATCACTACAGTTAAGAACAAGTTCATATGGGCTGTGCCCGATTGAAACAAAGGCGAAGGACCCGGATACTCGACAGTTGACAGTCTGTGCACCGACTGTCCGAACAGCGCCAAACAGCAGTATGAGATATGATGGTATTAACGCACCAAAGCTGATGCAGTGAGCTCATGGGACTGAATCCAGTGGATAGTCACAGGTCCTAGAAACATTGTACGACGTTTCACAAACGCTAGTGTCGCAGAAGTCGGTAAGTAAGGAACAAACGGTTTCTTCAGCAAAGCGAGCTCAGCAAAAGTACCAACATGAAAAACATGTAGGAACCTCTAGCTAAATAATTAAGTCATTCCCATAATCAAAAACGCTGCTGCGCTCATGAGATTCTTCTCTGAACCAGTTAAACAAACCCGCTATGGCAAACCAATCAGCATGCAGACGAAATATGGGTAGCCGTCCAAATAACTGGTCAGTTCGCTTGCGGCACGATAGTTGCTTGCTTGCACGGTCCTATCACATCCTTCCCTTTTTCGAGATCAGCTGCATCGGTGGCGCAGAGGACTCCGTAGGCTCCTCCGCACTGCGCATTCCTGGCTGCATCTGTTGTTGTGACATCATCGTAAGGCGTCTAGTGTTTTGCTGCAGGTTCACCTTCTCGTTCCCTGTGTCACCTCAGCTGTATTTGATTCCTTCTGATGACCTTACCTCTAGTACTGACTTCATAAGATCTTTCTCCAAGCTTCGTGGCCAACACACCTTTCTTCCATCGTTCGCTGATACCCGGTATCGGTTGGATCCATACTTTATCATTTACCGGTAGTTCCGGTAGCGCCCGGATCTCGAGGTCGTAATACTGTTTCTTATCTGTCACCCGTCTTCTTAAGCCCATTTACAGTTGCTCATGCGATGGCGAGACAGGGGGTAAGTGTTCAGTAGACGCAGGCGTTAGGGTTCTTGTTCTTCTGCTGTACAAATCTTGCACCGGAATGAGACCGATTTTCTGTAATGGCATATTGCGAATATCCAACAGCATTAGATACGGGTCCTCATGAGTTGCTCTGGCTTTCGACACTTGCCTCTTGGCTCGTTTGACCACTGACCCTGCTTTTCCCTTAGACTGACTGGGATACGGACTCGTTTGTTGATGCGACAATTCCCATATGTTCACGAAGGTCTGGAACGCAGCACTTGTAAATTGCGGGCCATTGTCGGAGACCAGTTCCTCCGGTATTCCGTGTCTGGCGAACTGGCATCTAAACTTGTTGATGACCGCTTACGTGGTGGTGTGCAGCTGATGATTCACTGTGGCTTATATCAAGACATTGTCTGAGCCATAACTGCCGTTGCCGAAACAGCCGCTTCGTGATATTTGCATCATTGATCCCCAGTACGATTCTATCTTGGATGAGACTGTCAGGCCATACAATTGCAAAAATTACAGGAACGAGCAAGGATCTTCAGCTCCGTAACACAGCTGTCGATAGTTTCGTTTGGACACCGGTTTCGGGTTAAAGAGATAATATTGATGTGTCTCGCTAGCCTGGCCTTCGCAGACGATGGTTTCCAGATCAGTTGGGTCTTCGTCCTTTTCGTACTGCATCGTTTCCAAGATACGGTGTGCTTCATTTCCGGTCGTATGTCTAAACATCGTCAATCGATACGCCATCGGTTGTTCATTCAGCCGCACCAGCACACGGAAATCGAACCACTGGAATTTTCTCGATTCTCCAATCATTAGCCAAATTATATTCTTCCATGTTTATTGGGTCAGGCGGTTGCACAGCTGGTTGCGCACCAATCAGCAACTGAGCAGCATTGGATGATCTTGTCTTGGTTTTCCCTGGCCCCATGTCGCAGAATTCGGTTCTTCAGAGACAAACGGTTCAGTCAGCAAAACGAGCTCAGCAAATATGACAGCATGACAAGCAAGTATGAACCTCTGTATAAATAACTAAGTCGTTTCCATAACTAACGGCGCTGCTGCGCTCATGAGATTTCTCCTCTGAATCAGTTAAACAAACCCACTCCGGCGAACCAATCAGCGCGTAGACGAAATATGCGCAGCCGTCCAATGAACTGCTCTGTTCGCTTGCGGCATGCTTGGTTGAACAACCCTATCATAGCTAGGTCTACCACAGCAACACGTGGGCATGGTCAAATAGATCTATGGTGCTATCCAAATTGACAACAACAGGCGGACTGTAAATGTGGTTCTGTTTAGGCATATGTCATAACGAGGTTCTATTTGTGGACACACTAAAGAGGACCACCTCAGGCGACGTGAGCTGTAATGTGTAGCTAACAAAATAGCGCAAAATGATGAAAAATGGCACACAGTTGACATATATTTGGGTCTTGTAGATGTTCTGCTGAAGGTTATTCATGAATGGTTTGATAGAATATTGGTGCGAAAAGAACGCTGGTCTTGATCGAAATACAAGTGCTCATTAGTGCTTGGAAAGTCATTTTGGAGCACTCATTGTGTGAATAACTAAATAAAAGACGTATTTCGGTGTGGCTCTCTCCCATCTCTGCACTCCACGACCGACGGTTTCGTCCTGATTAAGACTCATCAGGTAGAGATAGCCGAGCTGGGAGTGGAACTCGGTGCATAGTGCTTGGCGGCTATCATCACGATCACTAGGCCATTGAGCTCGGCGAGCAGTGTTTGACACAGCGGTTAGAAGTAGATTTTCGGGTTTTCGAGCACCCGCCGTGTGCCTTGGATTGCGACGCGTATTTCTTGACAGTGTGGGATGCAGACTGACTAAGTGGTATGATCACCCTGTACAACAAAAACGGATAGCGGAGAGGATTTTTCGCGTTTTTCAAAGTAGAGCCCGAGGATTTTGGGATTTGCTATCGGTTTAAGCAAGAAATGCAGGTGATGCGTCCATCCGTGGAATCGTCTTCTGGGGTGGCCTCTCGAGAGGTTTCATTCGTACTTCCACGCCTTATGTGGCCAGGTGCTGTGGTGGCTTAAAAGCAAGTCAGCCGTCAACATGTTGAATCATTCTTGTGGCCACTGTTATCAGCAAGTAGGCCTTCATCATGTCGACTCAATGTTTAAGGCCGCAGTTATATGCTAAGCACTCCTGCCGTCCAGCCCAGCCCACCCTTCGGCTCTATCGAGCCCTGCGAAGCGTAATCTCAATGCGGACCGCGATTCACATTGACGTGAACCTTAGCCGACTCGATCACTGGGACTGTAACTGCTGAACCAAATGAATATTGGGTGTTGCCAGCGCAAAGGCAATGTCACTCCACGATAGGCTTCGAAGTTACTTGCTCTCACCAGGTAGAAATAGCAAACATTCAACTGGGGGTTATGCGAAACCAGTTGTGGGGTGCTGTGTTTTCGGGCGGGCAACACCCAAATATTCATCTGCTAACGAAGTTACGGCCCAAGTGACAGAACTGATCATGGTTCACTTCAAGGCGAATCGTAGTTAACATTGGGACTGAACGCCACAATCCAATCACACGACGAGCGGTTCAAAATGACCCATCGGTAAACATTGTGACAAGCGTTGCCCGCTGTGATTCGGTGGCTAAGGGAATAGAGGTTTCAACTAACAGTCCAATGGTCCCGAGTTCGATGCCTGCTGTGTTTACTTGATGAGGTCGTAGAATATAGTGTTTCCAGGTGAGTAACACCCAATATTCATCTGGATAAAAGTGACTTAGAGAAACAGGATATATCAATCGGATAGATGAACAAGATGCAGAAGTATGTAAAGGAGGATAGGTAAAAGATGCTGAGAAACCCAAGTTCTGAGTGGTCGGGATCAGGGTAAGTGAGATAACCGAGAGGTTTGTTGAACGAGGTGTATAGTCAAACACACAACACTTACGATTAGCTATGAATGGGTAGGAAGTTGAGGATGCACGTCACCTAAGTTAACAGTTTCTACAGAAACCTCTGTTGCGTATAGTTAATAAGCTCTCAGAAAATGAACTAGTTCAACTGAGGTCCGAGACATCTTGGGTGATCAGACAACGTCACAAATTGGATATCTCCACTAAAGTTCAAGAAGAGTTGGGAGAGGTGTACCAATGGCCACAGATCATCCAATTCAGCCTCGGGGGATCCCATGGAGCGTACAAAAGATGGCAAAATAACACAATGCCTAGTCTCGACGTTGGTTAATAGTGGACAGATATGTTGAAAAATGAGGATGCATGTGAACGGTCGTTTTCACCGGGTCTCTTACAGTGGTAATGAACATCGTAGGCACAAATGTTATCATGAGCGAACAAGATGTAACAGAAAAAGCGCGGTGTCCGCTAATTCGACCGCATGCACAGAGAAGCACAAGTCGACCTAGGCAGCTACAGGGAGTTGATCAATTGACCAAATCATAACTCAGTTAAGGATATGTGAAGGACCAACTGAAAGTGCTGTTAAGAAATCCCAATAATTCACATCAGAAATTCCTTACTCACGAGCACCCCTTTATGTGTTTAAATAGGATGATGTGATCGCGGCGAAACAGGTGCACCAACTTCACGTGTCATTAGTGGACGCACCCAATAAAATCAAGCACCTACTGTAAGCCGGTTAATCGGTGCTAAAAAGCGAGTTCGGGAGCCCACTTTAGCGAGCCGATAAGAGTACAACGACGTGGTTTCTAAAGTACGAGATAAAACGGTCGTGCGCGCGATTACAGCAGGTGGGATCGATGCATGGTACAAGGGCCCACAAAAGCACGTGACGCGGAACGTGGAGGACAAAAGTTCACAAACCGAGCAGTCTCGAAAACTGCGGACGGGTGCTTACAGAAAGCCCATAAACAGCAATGCTACAGAGAGCAAAGCAAACTGAATGATCCGCCAACACAACTTACTGATCTCAGTTTCATTGCGTTCAAGTATAAAATGTATTCCTAAAGCGGTTTACACGGTGACTTGCCTCAGCTTGATAACTGATGGTGGCCAAATCCGCATTCTCCTTGGCCCAACGTCTCAGTATGCGCAAGTATTCGGCTTCCCAAAGTTCGGCTTTTCGCACCTGTTCCGAACGGGGGTTTGGATCATTGTTGACCAGGAAAGTGAGCACTACAGACTGAGAACCGTTGTAATTGGTGCCTGGGAAACGGTGAACGCAGAACAAACATCGGAGTAGAGTAGAAACATGGATAATTCACCGAATGCGCGCCGTGTGGTTTGAAAGAAAGGAGTTCCGGAGAAGGGTACAATAAAGAAGTGAGAAGAACGTGCGGCATCGCAGATACAAAGCTGAACCACGGTATGAAATAGACGCCTAACGCATAGCGAAACTTTGGCAAAGTTATTGGCTGCAATTGTTGGACACGAGGCAGCTTTGGTAGGAAAAACAAAAGGACGCTTTCCACTATACGCATGGCGAAACGGAGACGAAGTCCACAGTGTGTAGCAAGAATGCCTAAACAGTTCCGTTAAAAGTGATGTGAGAATAACATCAGAGAAAAATCGAATGGGAAAAACCTTTATGTTTCAACATTCGGCGGACGTTGCTACCTTAAAAGGCGGCGACAGGGAAAGTGTGGAGGAAAATCGCACGGTTCAAATGGAAACTAGTCTATCGGCACCATCCTGTATTCATGCTTTTCCACCACGTATCCGCAGTATTTTTATTTACGAGCTGAGTCACCTACGCCTATACAGAGTTGGGATCTCGAACCCGGGACACAGACTGTGAACCAGAACGCAGATTATCCAGTTAGGGGAAATGGCAGCACGCATCCAATTCAGCACTGACATGCCTGTCGGAGCAACACTAAAACGAAGAGCTGGTAAACCAAGAAAAACATTGTATTTTAACAATAATAACAACTAGCACTTCGCTGGTGAGTTTAGTCCACGTATTCTCAGTCAGCTGCTTAGACACCCAGTCTTAGTAATGAATGAATGTCAATGTGAGGGAATCGGTAATGGTGATCGGGGTTTCTGTTGTCATGGATCGAGGCCACGCCTTACCAAAACAAGATTAAACTCTCCACTAGGTCAAGCAATTTGAATAATGAATCACGGGCAATGCTGATCTTCAGCAAAGCAAAGATTCCAATTTCATTAATATGAATCAATATCAGAAATCATTTCAGGGTAAAGAATTCTTTTCGGTAAATCTCATCAGACCCAAACTTTTACATAACAGTGATTGCAGAGATAGCGTCAACTGGGGCTGGGATTGACTTCTTGACTGTTTGAATGACCAAAATCGATAATTTGAGACAGAGATAGAGATGGTAGACCAAGTAAACTAAATAAACATGTGTACACAAGGCTCATTAGTACAAGGTAATTAAGTAGGTAAGATGACAGCCAAATAACTAAGTAACGGTGTCCGTTGGCCAAGGTAGTAATATCGGCCGTATAAATCGTTTTTGGACACATAATTCCGGCTTTAGATGGTGAATGTACATAGCCTCGGCGAGGGATAAGAGCTGTTTGCGGAATCCTTGGGAGAAGTGTTCAGGTAATGAGTAAATGACTTTGAAGTCATTCTCTGAAGCTGTATGGCCACATTCAAGGAGGTGCGACATGATAGAGCTGTCTGAAGACCTCATTTCGCCTCTGTAAAACCATGCCGGGATGTGTTCACGAACCCTCTGAGATAGGCGTCTCGTCGTGCGACCCACGTATCGTGCACCACAGGAGCACGAGTACTGATAAATGATCATTGAACGGGTCAACGGCGGTAGTCTATCCTTCAAGGGTTTTGTAAGCAACGGCTTATTGTGAAAAACGATTCTCAGGCGGGCCGCGAAATAAGTTTTCTCGACAGCATCTTTCAGGCGTCTGGATAACATATCAGCTGCAGAATCGCCCTTAAAGGGTATATGTATGAAAAGCTCTTTCTTAGGAGCAATGCTCCTAGGTGGCTTTCGATTACGTTCCTTCAAATGTTTCATGATAAATTTATCCGGATAGCCATTTTCCCTGAGGGCGTCGCTGATTCTCTGTAGTTCTTCGTTGACGGTATCCGGTGTACAAATACTGCGCGCCCTGAAGGCGAGAGATCTGATTAAACTCCGCTTGTGCTGTAGTGGTACTGCGCTGTGGAAGTTAGTGTACTGCCCAGTCCATGTGTGCTTTCTGTGTACCTTTCTGCTGCATGATCCGTCTGAGTTACGGATAACTTCTACATCCAAGAAAGGTAACCGGTTTCCGAGTTCGTGTTCACAAGTGAAATGGAGATTCTTGTGTGCGTCATTGAAAGCTTTCAGCAACTGTTCCGCATGCTTTTCGGATTTGCAAAGTACGAAGGTGTCATCCACATACCGTACGTACATTTCGGTTTCACGGATGTGCGTTGCAAGTGGGCCATGTTCCAATTTCGCCATGAATATATCAGCCAGCAGCGGCCCCAAAGGAGATCCCATGGCCACTCCGTCAATCTGACGGTACATTTCACCATTGAAAGTGAACTGAACTGAGAGACACGTTCGAATTCATTGAGAGGATATCTGAAAGCAACCTTGTTAACAAAAGGATGATATCATTCGATGCCCAGTCGTTGTTCACAAACATTCCATTGCTCGAAACCGTGGATTACGTATGCGAGCTTGCTCGGCAACTGCCCATATACACAACTTTTCCGGAGACTTTGCTAAAGGAGGTGTTACTTCGTTGCACGTTAAATGTTCAGTTCACTTTCAATGGTGAAATGTACCGTCAGATTGACGGAGTGGCCATGGGATCTCCTTTGGGGCCGCTGCTGGCTGATATATTCATGGCGAAATTGGAACATGGCCCACTTGCAACGCACATCCGTGAAACCGAAATGTACGTACGGTATGTGGATGACACCTTCGTACTTTGCAAATCCGAAAAGCATGCGGAACAGTTGCTGAAAGCTTTCAATGACGCACACAAGAATCTCCATTTCACTTGTGAACACGAACTCGGAAACCGGTTACCTTTCTTGGATGTAGAAGTTATCCGTAACTCAGACGGATCATGCAGCAGAAAGGTACACAGAAAGCACACATGGACTGGGCAGTACACTAACTTCCACAGCGCAGTACCACTACAGCACAAGCGGAGTTTAATCAGATCTCTCGCCTTCAGGGCGCGCAGTATTTGTACACCGGATACCGTCAACGAAGAACTACAGAGAATCAGCGACGCCCTCAGGGAAAATGGCTATCCGGATAAATTTATCATGAAACATTTGAAGGAACGTAATCGAAAGCCACCTAGGAGCATTGCTCCTAAGAAAGAGCTTTTCATACATATACCCTTTAAGGGCGATTCTGCAGCTGATATGTTATCCAGACGCCTGAAAGATGCTGTCGAGAAAACTTATTTCGCGGCCCGCCTGAGAATCGTTTTTCACAATAAGCCGTTGCTTACAAAACCCTTGAAGGATAGACTACCGCCGTTGACCCGTTCAATGATCATTTATCAGTACTCGTGCTCCTGTGGTGCACGATACGTGGGTCGCACGACGAGACGCCTATCTCAGAGGGTTCGTGAACACATCCCGGCATGGTTTTACAGAGGCGAAATGAGGTCTTCAGACAGCTCTATCATGTCGCACCTCCTTGAATGTGGCCATACAGCTTCAGAGAATGACTTCAAAGTCATTTACTCATTACCTGAACACTTCTCCCAAGGATTCCGCAAACAGCTCTTATCCATCGCCGAGGCTATGTACATTCACCATCTAAAGCCGGAATTATGTGTCCAAAAACGATTTATACGGCCGATATTACTACCTTGGCCAACGGACACCGTTACTTAGTTATTTGGCTGTCATCTTACCTACTTAATTACCTTGTACTAATGAGCCTTGTGTACACATGTTTATTTAGTTTACTTGGTCTACCATCTCTATCTCTGTCTCAAATTATCGATTTTGGTCATTCAAACAGTCAAGAAGTCAATCCCAGCCCCAGTTGACGCTATCTCTGCAATCACTGTTATGTAAAAGTTTGGGTCTGATGAGATTTACCGAAAAGAATTCTTTACCCTGAAATGATTTCTGATATTGATTCATACTATTTGAATAAATCCGGCTTTAGTCGATGGATGGCAGTGGCTTTACGAACAAATAGCAGGCAGCGTATTTTGTCTGTTGATGACTTCTAAGGATTCACGAGGATTTTCGAACACCTTGCAATAGAGCAGCTACTGACCGATAGAACTGATAGGCGACCTAAGACCGCTCAAAGTTAAGCCCCTTGGAACCTGCACCATGATCCTGTGGACAACGTACCTCAATCCGGCCAATGTACAGTTAAGGGGGTAAATGTATGAAGCGGTAATTCAAGAGAGGTCTGTTTAACTTGGGTTCATGTAGTAACTTCTGGTTATGATGCAGTTGCACTTGTTCGACTGTGCAATATCCCTAGTTTACTGATTAGCGTAACCAGTGGCGGAGGCTTTCCTTATTTGATTCCCTTTAAAAGACAGTGTAAAGAAACGTCTTTTCATTGGGAACCCATGGCAGCCCTGACAAAGCATGATATTGCCCCGCACGAGATTCCACTATGGATAGTGACCAGGAATGTAGTGGGGTCGTACGATCTTCCTCAGCAAATGAGACTGAAAACTGTGGGATTCTACAGTGGACAGTATCGACGCTTGTGTATCGAGTTGATAATGAGCTGTCAGATTCAAAGTTATTCCAAGCATGTTTTCGTCACCTTGTGAAACGCAATCTCGGTTGTACACTGACAGTTCGTCAGTTAAAGCTGGTTATGAATGACACCGGAATTCCAGCTGCCTTCAAGCGTGCTAATTGTAGATCATCCTTCCCAATTATGTCACTTCTCCCCCATACTTCGCCACTATAAAAACATCTTGAAGACGCACACGTGTAGTTACATTAAGCGACATGACATTTTAGGTACTCTCGGCATAACTTCCTGGTCAGTCTACCAACACTTGCGTTATTTCGTGTACTCGAGCTTGTTTTTCCAATTGTCCACTTTCATATTAGTGGACCTGTCAAGCCTGAGCTATTTTTAGCCATGATAAACCACTGTTTACATTGTCCAACCTCCTCTTCCCCACAGCTGGGATATGCTTCCTAGAGAACCGATTTTCAGGTACCGTTTTTGTTATTATGCATTGTAATTTATTCTTGATGGGCGCACCTG